CCTCCCCAGAAGCTGAACAGATGCCAGCACCATAACTCCAGTACAGCCCGTCGAACCGTGAGCCAATTAAACCTCTTATTTTATTTATTTTAAAAAATGTTTAATTTATAAATTACCCAGTCTCAGGTATTTCTTTACAGCAATGGGAGAACTGACTAATACAGCTATCATAATGCATTTAAGAAGGAACAGAAGACATTAAATAGCCCTGTACCTATTAAGGAAATTAAGTTTATTTTTTTAAGTTCAATTTATAAAGAAATATATGAATGAAAATACTTTCCACGAAGTAAATTCTAGGCCTGAATTATTTCATCTGTGAGTGCTAACAAACACTTAAGCATGATATAATACCCATTCTATGTGAACTCTTCTAGGAAGCTGAAGAGGAGTAAATACTTCCCAACTCATTCCACAAGGCTAGCATTACTCTGATACCAAAAGCAAAGGCATAACTAATGAAAACCATGGACCAATTTCCCTTGTGAGCGCAGATGAAAAATTCTTAGCAAATTTTAACAAGTTGAATGTGACAATATCTAAAAGAAGACCAAGTAGAGTTTATCCCAAGAGTGCAGAGTTGGAGGATAAACAGGGGACACTGCGGCTAGGCTGGAATGAGCCAGGGAAGTGAGATGAGATTTGAGAACTAATGAGAACTAGATCATGTGGGCCAGAGGATTTGTTCCAGATCATCATGACCCTGAACTCAAACAATTAATACTAGTAGTGTGAATTTTAGGCCTGTCTACAGGAGAACAGGGAAAATTGAGGGGCGGGGGGGGACTGGTAAATACCACAGAGAGAATTGTCAGCCTCATTGCAAGGACTTGATTTTTAATCTGAGTGAAATATAGGAAAACCATTAAAGAGTTTTGAGTAGAGGAGTGATATCATCATTTTACTGCATTTTAGCAATCTATTTTATTGACAATATATTTTAGTGAAGTGAGACTGGAATCAGGAAGACCAAATAATAATATGTAAGTCAAAGTATTCAGTAAATTAATAAACAATTCACATACCAATAGTTACTCAAATATTGCAATAACTTCATCATTCTTTGTCATAGTTTAGTGTACCATTTCTGACAAGCTGCTTTATGTATACTTACTGTTTTACAGATAACAGTCTTTTGATAAAATACATTTTGCTAGAGAGGACTCTCAGAAGAATGTGGGGAACTCTGCTTGGTTATAGGATGATCACTGAAGCCCAGTGGAATTTTACCCAACCCTTTTATTACACATCCCTCAGTTTTATTGTCAGAAATAAAATGTTATGCTGAATGGTAAGAGCCCAAAATAATACAACATTCCTTTATGCGAGGTACTTGGTCCCAACTTGATTGTGATGCCAGAAATACACAATATTTAACCTTTTTCCAAGGAGCTGGTCTCCCTTGAACCAGCCCCCTGCAGTCATTGTTCTCCTGACTGATGTTATTAGAGATCCTATGCAGGATCTAATTCCTACTCATGCCAGAGCAAGCCAGAAGAAGCTCTACAAATTCCTGGGAGCTACAAAGCAATAGGTACCCAGAGCCTAAAACTATTGGAAATGATGTTTGTCTAAAATGGCCAGAGACAACTTTTATAAGCTTCCAGGAAGTGGAGAACCATAAAAACTGACCAAAAAAAAAGCAAGCCAAAGCACACAAGGTCAAGGGAGCTGAGAATCAAAGACTGTGATCACAGGCAAGGCTGTGGATATGGAGTGCACACGAGAATTCTTTCATAAGGGATTGATGATGTGCTTGGGGGGCGGGGTGGCCATTTGCACTGAGTGGTTCAAAAAACATACAAAGTCCAACCCATGCCTAAGTGAGTGTTGTAGCTCATAGCAATTTAATTTGTTTTGCCACACTTGAAAGTGCAGTATGATAGTGAGAGTATTAGGTGCCTTTGAAGGCGGGCAGGGAAGATTATTTTGGAGGAAGTGAACACCATGTAAAGAATTGTCGACCTCATCCACACTTCAAGTCAATTGTGCTGACATGAAAATGTTTTTCACAGGTCGAGTGTGCGGTTTCCATTTAGCACACAGGCCTTCCACCTGGGAAAGTCCAGCTTGGCAGCAGCATTTCCATCCATCTCACCAAGTTACCTATCCACGGCTGAGTGCTTTTAGCGTGATGTTTCTACAGCTGAGAATTATTCAGAAAACTGTGTATGTTCATCTGTACTGAAGCAATAGTGATAGATCAACTACCTCATACACGTCATCTTGAAATCTCAGGAGGAAATTACTGCCTACAACACACACACACACGACTAGCTTTTAGAGTTTTGAGGTTTCAAAAAGTTCTATTAAATGGCTTCGGAATGTTTGAAATGTACAAAACATTTCCTAGGAATTTTTGTATCAATGTTTTTCCTACAGAAATGTCTGTGAACTAGAATTGTTTTCTTCTATTCTCTGTATATTCATTTGGTAAACATGTATTCAAGTCTATCCTTGATACTCAGCATTCAGATATTTATAACAATGAAAAACTGAAGTCCCTGTGCTCAAGGACTTTGATTTAGTGAGGGATAGAAGTACATGCAAGTAGTTACAATTCAAAAAGGCAAGCTGATCAGAGAAGTACAAATAAAGCACTAGGAGTTAAAGAGAAGGAGGTCACTAACTGCCAGAGTCATTAGAGACCAACAGAGAAAATTATATATGATCTGGATCTTGATGGACTAAAATGAATTTATGATGGGGAGAAGCAGAAAGAGTAACATTTTAGGCAGAAAGAATAAAGCCTGGAAGTATATAATAATGCTAAGACTTATATGCTGTATTAGTCCGTTTTCATGCTGCTGATAAAGACATACCAGAGACTGGGAAGAAAAGGAGGTTTAATTGGACTTACAGTTCCACATGGCTGGGAAGGCTTCAGAATCATGGCGGGAAGTGAAAGGCACTTCTTACATGGTGGCAGCAAGAGAAGATGAGGAAGCAGCAAAAGCAGAAACCCCTGATAAACTCATCAGATCTCATGAGACGTATTCACTCTGACGAGAATAGCACAAGAAAGACCAGCTCCCATGATTTAATTACTTCCCGCTGGGTCCACAACACATGAGAATTCTGGGAGATATGATTCAAGTTTAGATTTGGGTGGGGACACAGCCAAACCATATCATAGGCCATACTGAGGAAGTCTGCTTTTGATAGTCTCAATATCAAGCACCTCGCGAGTGCTTAATTTTGACCTGTTCTTTGTGGGTGAAAATGATGGGATCAGTTTATGTTCATGAAACTGATGGTGATAATAATGATTAAAAATAGGATCTTTCTATGGATCTTGGCCAACATGTCCATGTGGCTGTGCTAACCAATTATTTACTATTTTATCAACCTGCTTGCATTTTCCTATTTCTAAACCCCTTAGTATTCTTTGAGAAAGGACTATCATACATCATGACTGTTAGTAGAGCCTAGAAGATTAAAGATTTTCTCTTTTGACGGTCTTAAATATAACAGTTCTTCTGAAATAAATTCATATATTCAACTTAATTCCTGCCAAAATTTCAGACACACACACACACACACACACACACACACACGGCAAAATTGTTATAAAATAAACTTGGAAAATAATAGAGATGAGAAAATTATGAAAACTAGTGCAAATACTAAAATCGAATTAGTACTAACAGATATAACATATTGCAACATGTTACATAGACTCTGAAATAAAAACGATTTGTTACTAGGCTAAAAATAAAACCTGCAGCCCAGAAGTAGAATGTATTACATATAACACTATAGTTTCATAAAGGAGATACCACTGGTCAATCAGAAACCTGAAGGTTTAGTCAGTAAGTGTTCTATGAGGGATCAGTTAGCAATTTGCAAAGAAAAATTAATTTAGAGTCTCATCTCATTTCATAGGCCAAAATATATTTTAGATAAAGAAGTAAACATTAAAAATGAAACAACAGAAACTAGTAAAAAAAGTGAAATAAATATTTATCAAATGTCTAGATTCAAAAGGACTTAGCCTAGAAATGATAAAAGACTTAAGAGAGAAAAATAAAGATTGAGCCATATACAAATTTAAAACTTTAATATCTAAACTCTAAAAACCATAAGACAAGTATCAAATTTGGAAATGGCTACAGAAAATACTAAAAACATTAATAACTATTGTATTATGAACTTGTATTAACTGACAAAAAAACATAAGAAAAACAGGGGAAAATACAAATAAATACAAAATTAACTAACTACAAAGGGAAATTAAAAATAATTATGGTTTTTTATTATATAACTAATCAACAAACATAAAAAACCTATATTCATTCTCAGTTGTGATGGAAATTCAAAATAAAACAACATTAAGATATAATTGTTTTACTGGCATAAGTAGTATTTTTCTCATTGATAATATTCAATGTAAATGCAAAGACAGTACAGTGTAGAGTTTGTGTTGGATAATTGGCTGGTCATTACTTTTATCTTCTTGATTTTATTTTTTTAAATGTCTTTAATGGTTTTTCTTTACTTTTATAATTGAAAAAAATTAAAAGTGACAAAATATATGTATAGTAATTAAGAAAAATATCTTCTCGAATTGGAGTGAATGTGTAATCCTACACACTGGGCCAACTGGCATCAGAACTTCCACTGACTATTGTTAAAGAATCTGCTCAAAAACAATAAGATTTTTCAGTGAAGAAGGGTTATTTCATTTATCAGGATCTGCTGAGGCAGCAGAACAGAGAAATATTTGTTGTCAATCAGCTCAAAATACTTAATAACAAAATAGGTGTTATTCAGTCATCACGAGTCAAAGGCAGACTTTTTTATAGAAAAGAACAACTAATGATTGAAACCTGCATATTCAGCAAACATTTACTCCACAGAATTCTAGGCAGCAAGATAAAAAACAAACAAACAAACAAACAGAAAAACAGCGTTGCTAAATTACTAAAAGCCTAGAGGTGAATCGTGTGTGTGATAAGTGCTTCAGAAAATGTTATCATCTATTTTTCTTGTCTTTGCAGAGAAAGTCCCTGACGTACAATGGTTTGACTTGTGATTTTTCAGCTTTGCCGTGAGTTTAATGGGACATAACCCCATTGTAGATTGAGGAACATCTGTACTTATGAAACACCTCCACCTCTACACAATTTGTTGTTGGTGGTAGCAGTAGTGGGGGCATGTTATGGGGGTGATTCTTGACAGCTCACTGATATCTATATGAAGGGGTGGATAGAATGATAAATGGTAGGTGTGATGTGTTGATGGGACAAAGGGCCAAAAAGTTCAGCAGAGAGGTTGGGAAGAGAAGTGTCATGAAAGGTGACAGAAAGCTCCACATGCCAGCTTATTCCCTGGGCTAAAAACCATTAATGACTTTCCCTCTGTCCTCTCAGCTTGTGTAAAATACCTAAGAAATAAAATCAAGGTTCCTCTTTTGAAATTATTGTGCTAAACTCTTGAGTCAGCAATGCTGTATGAATTTGCATCTCTACTTTTGCAAGAACTATTTATTTAGAGAGCACTATCTTGTGAAGATGTTTTGTGGGATGTATGACCATCAAGATCAAGTCACTGTAATCCTGATGATAACCAGTCAGGGGTATGAAAGTGGGAAGGTTGGCCCCTAGGTGTATTCTGACTGCTCAAATCAGTCCTGTAAAATTGAAACTAACCTACCTGAGCCAGCTCCTATCCACCTGATAGGATACAAAGACGACTCACGGGCCTGTGGGTTCTTACGTACAAGCTGCTGTTTTTCCCCTCTACTGATCGTGGGAATTTCCAGCTCAGGAGTTGTGTTGGCATGCTGTCCTGGACAGAGTGAAAGCAGGAGGACCTGGCCACACATGTGCTTAGATACTGCTTTCCTTTGTCCAGTGAGAGGTTGGAAAGGTGCTTACAGAATCACAAAAATAGAAAATAAGAATGAAACTAATTTGAACTTGGTTGTAAGAGGATTTGTCATTTACTATATCCTTCCTGTGTCTAACTCAGAGTTAAAAGAAACCACAACATTTTCCCCCAAACCTGATGAAGACAAAATAAAACACTAAACAAGAAAATAATCAGAACAAATAAGAGTTCATTAAGTGGCTTCATACAAAACAAATAAAAATTGATGGTTTTCCTCTATACTAGCAATAACCAGTTAGAAAACGAATACAGAAATAGCACATTCCCCCCAAAATAGGAGTGGGAGTATTGAAAACCTATAAGAAGAAGATTATACTGAGAGAAAGTAAGTAGAAAGATATTTTTATAAAATGGTCACTCCTCCCCCAAATTAATCAATATTTAATTCAATTTAAATCTGATACAAACATTTTTGGTTTTTTCAAACAAACTGAAGTTGTAACATTAATGTAAAAATTGGTATGGGAGATTGCCTGGAAACTTTTACAAAAAATAAAATTGAGCAAGGTAGAGTTGGGTACTTGCTATGAAGCTCTTAAAACTGTAAAGGTACCATGTTTAGATAATTTTGATGTCACTAAAAGAAGAGTCAAATCAATAGCATTCAGAAAAAGATTCATTTATCTATGGCGACTGGATATATAGCAAAATTAACATGTTCAATTTAGTGGAGTAAATTCAGACTATTTCATAAATGATGTTAAGATTGTTGATCCATCTAGAAGAAAGCAATTTTTTTAAATTTTACTTTAAGTTCTAGGGTACATGTGCACAGCATGCAGGTTTGTTACATATGTACACATGTGCCATGTTGGTGTGCTGCACCCATTAACTCCTCATTTACACTAGGTATATCTCCTAATGCTATCCCTCCCCCCACCCCACCCCACAACACGCCCTGGTGCATGATGTTCCCCACCCTGTGTCCATGTGTTATTGTTCAATTTACACCTGAGTGAGAAAATGCGGTGTTTGGTTTTCTGTCCTAGTGATAGTTTGCTCAGAATGATGGTTTCCAGCTTCATCCATGTCCCTATAAAGGACAAGAACTCATCCTTTTTTATGGCTGCGTAGTATTCCATGGGGTATATGTGCCATATTTTCTTAATCCAGTCTATTATTGATGGATATTTGAGTTAGTTCCAAGTCTTTGCTATTGTGAATAGTGCCACAATAAACATACGTGTGCATGTGTCTTTATAGCAGCATGATTTATAATCCTTTGGGTATATGCCCAGTAATTGGATGGCTGGGTCAAATGGCATTTCTAGTTCTAGATCTTTAAGGAACTGCCACACTGTCTTCCACAATGGTGGAACTAGTTTACAGTCCCACCAACAGTGTAAAAGCATTCCTATTTCTCCACATCCTCTCCAGCACCTGTTGGAGTCTTTAATCCATCTTGAATTGATTTTTGTATAAGGTGTAAGGAAGGGATCCAGTTTCAGCTTTCTACATATGGCTAGCCAGTTTCCCCAGCACCATTTATTGAATAGGGAATCCTTTCCCCATTTCTTGTTTTTGTCAGGTTTGTCAAAGATCAGATGGTTGTAGATATGTGGTATTATTTCCGAGGGCTCTATTCTATTCCATTGTTCTATATCTCTGATTCGGTACCAGTACCATGCTGTTTTGGTTACTGTAGCCTTGTAGTATAGTTTGAAGTCAGGTAGTGTGATGCCTCCAGCTTTGTTCTTTTTGCTTAGGATTGTCTTGGCAATGCTGGCTCTTTTTTGGTTCCATATGAACTTTAAAGTAGCTTTTTCCAGTTCTGTAAAGAAGGTCATTGGTAGCTTGATGGGGATGGCATTGAATCTATAAATTACTTTGGGCAGTATGCCATTTTCACAATATTGATTCTTCCTATCCATGAGCATGGAAAGTTTTTCCATTTCTTTGTGTCCTCTTTTATTTCTCTGAGCAGTGGTTTGTAGTTCTCCTTGAAGAGGTCCTTCACATCCCTTGTAAGTTGGATTCCTAGGTATTTTATTCTCTTCAAAGCAATTGTGAATGGGAGTTCACTCATGATTTGGCTCTCTGTTTGTCTGTTATTGGTGTATATGAATGCTTGTGACTTTTGCACATTGATTTTGTATCCTGAGACTTTGCTGAAGTTGCTTATCAACTTAAGGAGATTTTGGGCTGAGATGATGGGGTTTTCTAAATATACAATCATGTCATCTGCAAACAGGGACAATTTGACTTCCTCTTTTCCTAACTGAATACCCTTTATTTCTTTCTCTTGCCTGATTGCCCTAGCCAGAACTTCCAACACTATGTTGAATAGAAGTGGTGAGAGAGGGCATCCTTGCCTTGTGCCAGTTTTCAAAGGGAATGCTTCCAGTTTTTGCCCATTCAATATGATATTGGCTGTGGGTTTGTCATAAATAGCTCTTATTATTTTCAGATACGTCCCATCAATACCTAGTTTATTGAGAGTTTTTAGCATGAAGGGCTGTTGAATTTTGTCGAAGGCCTTTTCTGCATCTATTGAGATAATCATGTGGTTTTTGTCTTTGGTTCTGTTTATGTGATGGTTTACATTTATTGATTTGCATATGTTGAACCAGGCTTGCATCTGAGGGATGAAGCCAACTTGATGGTGGTGGATAAGCTTTTTGATGTGCTGCTGGATTTGGTTTGCCAGTATTTTATCGAGGATTTTTGCATCGATGGTCATCAGGGTTCTTGGTCTAAAATTCTCTTTTTTTGTTGTGTCTCTGCTAGGCTTTGGTATCAGGATGATGTTGGCCTCATAAAATTAATTAGGGAGGATTCCCTCTTTTTCTATTGATTGAAATAGTTTCAGAAGGAATGGAACCAGTTCCTCTTTGTACCTCAGGTAGAATTTGGCTGAGTCCATTTGGTCCTAGACTTTTTTTGGTTGGTAGGCTATTAATTATTGCCTCTGTTTCAGAACCTGTTATTGGTCTATTCAGGGATTCAACTTCTTCCTGGTTTAGTCTTGGGAGGCTGTATGTGTCCAGGAATTTATCCATTTCTTCTAGATTTTCTAGTTTATTTGCATAGAGGTGTTTATAGTATTATCTGATGGTAGTTTGTATTTCTGTGGGATCGGTGGTGATATCCCCTTTATCATTTTTTATTGCACCTATTTGATGAGGAAAGTAAAATTTAATTTCTACATCACAACTAAATAAAAAGTTTCAATTGGGCATGTGTATATGTGTGTGTGTGTTATAATTTGTTTTTTCTTGTATATTGGCTTTTTAAGTAAGTCTATATACATCTAACTCCTTGTTTAATGGAATTTGTATATAACAATAAATTTTGAATGCAAGAATTTATTTAACTATTTTTTGATGGACATCTGAAGTGGTTCCAGTTTTTTAAGGATGCATTCATAAAAGTACAGTTGCTGAAATAAGAAAATCTGAGCATTTAAAATATTACTAGTTGTTGCTATTATATTTGTGGCACAAAATTCTGGAAGGAATTTCTCATTTATTTATTAAGGGGTTATTCTTAGTTGATTCATGGATGTCATAACTTGCTCACTACTGTGCTTGATCAGGATAACAAGCATTAACTTGGCACTTTCTTTGCTCCTGACAGCGAGCAAAGATCAGGATCAGGAGGCATAGGAATGGTGGAGGGGTACAATAGAAACTCCTTACCCTTATGCTCTTTCAAAAAAAAAGTAGGGAAAAGTGCAGATTTATAAGTACTAAATTGGGTGATAGTGCCTATTACATGTGCTTTAAAAGAACCAGAGATTTAAAAAAAAAAGATTTTTACAAGATAAAATTAGGCTATTTTCTGCAACTGTATTCCCCCCAAAATGATTATGACTCCAAATCCATTTGAAACATAATATTTATGGTGATTATTGTGAATATTAATGTCCCTAATAATTAACTGGATAAAATAAATTCTTCTGCACCATAAGAAAACTCAAATGATCCTGGGACAAAGCTAATGAAAGGGAAGGAAGAAATGTAACCAAAACTTATTTATTATGTACGTGTACCATGTGTTAGGTGCTTTGATTACATTCTCTTCTATTTTGTCCACCTCCGGCCTGACTTGGAAGGACAATGCATTGCCAGGAATTCTCCAAAATGAAGGACAGTTTTAGGGGCAGGAGATTTTTTTTAAAAAAGAGCTAGCATCTATAGAGTTCCTGCTATATGCCAAATACTGTGCCAGAATCTTGAAGCACACTGCTTCTGTTTCATACATGCTCAATCCTCTAAAGTGAGCTCAAAGATGCCTTCTAACCACATGCCAAAGTAGGAAGTCCTAAGGAGAGAACAAAGTCCTCAGGCACACAGTCTTAAGGGATGAAAGTTTTTAAGTGAAGTTTAGAAGTTAAAAGTATGTGAAAATGAACCTTGGCTGACAGAAGCCTCCTCACCCAGATATGCCAAGGAGATTACCCTCCCACCAGCACAACCACCACCTGCCCCACCACTTCCCAACAGTGAATGGCTGACTTATGAATGCAGAAGTCCAGTCTGCTTCAAATCATGATAACTCTGCTATACTATTTATGTTCCAGAGTCCCCTGTTGATCAGGCCAAGGCTAGACTTCATTAGATGATATCCTTGATTGGTAATTTGCCCTTTCCTATGTCACTTCTCTTTTTCTGTTATAGGTTTGGCCTGAAGAACGCATCCTCCATAAATCCCTTGTCCTCAGTTTCTGACTCAGGCTCTGCTTCTGGAGAACCCAACATAAAATGAAGAAAATTTGAGTTCCTGACCATACTTCGATTTATCACACCTAATGATTTCTAATCTTCACAATGACTCTTCGAGGTAGGGATTATTAATCCCATTTTATGAATTATTAAGATAGGTACACTGAGCTAGATTCAGCAAAAAGGTAGGTCCCAGGAAGATAGTTCAGATAGACACTGAACTGCTTCAGTAGTTCCTAAGGAGAAGCTGATCAAGGCTGCCTTTAGTAGGAAGGTACTTGGGGACCCAACTCCAGGGCCCTAGGCTCTAACTTCCCACAAACCGATCCCTTCAGAGG